TTATCTGAGTTTTCGTTTATATATACTTACTCATGTCAGATTAAAAATCACAGCAAATTAAAATTATGTTTGGAAACATTCAAACAAAGATTACTGAGATTATTTGATTGAAGTTAATTTCTTTTTTTTTTCTTTTTTTTTAAAATATATTTTATTGATTTTTTACAGGAAGGGAGAGAGATAGAGAGTCAGAAACATCGATGAGAGAGAAACATCGATCAGCTGCCTCCTGCACATCTCCCACTGGGGATGTGCCCGCAACCAAGGTACATGCCCTTGACCGGAATCGAACCCGGGACCTTCCAGTCCGCAGGCCGACGCTCTATCCACTGAGCCAAACCGGTTTCGGCTGAAGTTAATTTCTTTACACTTTTATTTCTTAGTCATAATTACTTTACTTACTGAATAGTGCCATGAGCTTCAGTGCTCTCCTTCACGATATTTCCGTTTAATATTGCCTGTTTGGTCACTGTTTCCACTTTTTCATTCTCACACTTTTGTGGGACTTTTGTTGAAAAAGAGATTTCATTTATAATGGCTGTGAAAAATTTTATTTATGAAATATTAAATTACAGTGTTGAAGTAGTAATCACATTCAATTCAAATGTTAAAATTTATGTAAATATTGCATATTTTTGCTACGTTAGAGTGCTCAATTTATTTATAACCCCTACTAATGGCACTTCGCTTTTCAAGTTAAATTACTAATATCAGAAACTCACCTGAAGGTAAAACAAAACCAACTCTACTTGTAGGTTTTTTTTCTTTTTTTCCTCCTTGGATACAACCATAATATCTGAAATTGGAAAGAATTATATTGTAGGAGCAACGAAATATTAGCAGGTAATGGAAACAAATGCTCACTAATCAGAATGGATAACTGTAGTATATTCATACAACGGAAATACTATTTAGCAGTGAAAATAAATGAAGTCAGGGTACACTGGATCCTTATGGATGAATCTCCCAAATATAACATTGAGTGAAAAAAAGAGTAAGTTTATAAAGGTTAAAATAATATGCAAAACAATTTCATATTTTGTTTAGGGATACATACATATTCGTATAATAAGCATCAAATTTGGGAGCCAGGTTAGATTGAGGGAGGAGGATGAGATTGGGGGGATGTGGTTTAGGTGTGGGTGAAGGGGAGTGGAACAGACTTCAACAACATTGTATATGTCTCACTGAGCTGGGGGACGTGCATACACGGGAGTTCATTACATCTTTCTTGATACTTTCTTGTATATATTAAATGCAGCATAATAAAAATTGTATTACAGGAATATTAAAGGCCAAGTTACCAATATTTTGAAGGATTAGGAATTAAATAAACTTCACAACCTTTAATTTTATTTAATAATAAATTGTATGTATATTTACATAATACTATTTTAAGCACTTTACAAACATTAATTTGTTTAATCTTCACAGCAATGCTATGAGGTAGGTAATATTGTTCCCATTTTAGAGATGAGAAAACTGCTGCACAGAGAGGTTTAGTAACCTGCCTGGCTTCACTCTGCTCGTAAGTGGTATATTTGAATTTAATTTACAGTTTTCAAAGATTTAGTAAGTGTCAAGACATTATAGGTTAAAGCAGTTTCATCTAGTTTTATAGAAGACTCAGGATTCTGAAGCAAGCAAGAATAAAGGTTTATTTTTAAAGAAGAAGTGGTACTTATATACAATGAAATATTACTCAACCATTAAAGTAAAAAAGAATGAAATCTTGCCATCTGCAACATGGATGGATCTAGAGGGTGTTGTGCTGAGTGAAGTAAGTCAGACAGAGAAAGACAAATGCCATATGATTTCTTATATGTGGAATCTAAAAAGCAAAACAAATGATCAAGCAGATCAGAAAAAGATCATAGATTCAGAGAACATTTTGATAGATGCCCATGGGAGGGGGTTGGAGGCATGGGATGAAGAAGTACAAATTGGTAGTTCTAGCATAGTCTTGGGGATGTAAAGCACAGTATAGGAAATATAGTCAGTAGTATTATAATTACTATGCCTGATGTCAGATGGCCACTAGATTTATTAGATGATTTAAAAAATTATATACCTGTCTAATCACTGGGTTGTATGTCTGAAACTAATATATTGTATGTTGACTGTACTTGAAAATTTTAAAAGTATATTTAACCAGTTAACTGCCACATATCCAAAATGGAAACCGTCCCCACATGCCATTGATGCTTATGGCATACAAAGGGTTAAAAAAAAGACTAGTTTTGTTTTTATGGGAACATGGAAAATTGGAGGTTGTGCTGTGTTCAAAGCCATATGACCCTATAAGTGATTGCAGATTCTGAAATTGTGTGAATCAATAAGAATTCCTCTCTGGTACCTTTTGTTATTGGGACATCTGGAAGTCTTCTAAATCATATACTCCAAACACCATTGCTTTCCATGGTTGTAATATTTTGGTGTTTGATGTGTGGTGGGAGTGGGCCTTTGTGTGTGTGGGGATGTGGTAGTAATAGTTTTCCAAACTTTCTTTGTGGGTGGTCCGCATAAGGCAATGACTAATTCTAAAAGTTTGGCGTGGCAAGGAGAGTGAGCAAGTTTAGAAAGGTCATTTTTGTATTGATTGGTAATTATTGACATTTTGTTCTAGCCTTGCTGTGCTCCTTGTTGTAGCTTATGTCCCTGACTTTGGTTATTTTGTCCGTGATCTGTGGAGGCTGGAAATACTTCTCATATTCTTTGCAGTGCGCACTACTCCTATTTAATTGTAGAGACTCAGTGGTCCTGCCATGGGGGCGATTTCTTTAGATTCAATTTCTCTGTTATGTCAACAATGGCGTAAGGGGCTCCGCATTTCTGGACGCTTGTCATGAACCACATGGGATTAGGTACCTGATTTCTTCCTTTTCTAGGAGGCGGCGGTACGTGGCTATTTCTTGTTCTAGCCTCATCTTCGTGTTGAGAAGCATCTCATGCTCTTGGAGCTGCTTCTCGATGCCGTGCCTTACTTCCTGTAGCTCTTTTTCCAGTCCTTCAATCACGGCCTCCAGGTCTTGCAGCTGCATCTGGTAATGCTGCTCACTGGCCTGCAGGGAGTTTTCGAGGCCCCGTTCCTGTTTTAGATAGATCTTCATCAATGAGTCGGTGAAACACAATGAGTTTCTGAATTCTTATTTGCAATGTCTTCATTCTATTGTGTTTTTTCTCTTTTTTCAAAAGGTTGTAATAATACTACATTAGTTAGATGAGAGGTAATGGTTTGGCTTGTAGATTAAGTGGACTGAAGGGTCCGGGGTTCAGTTCTGGTCAAGGGCACATGCCTAAGTTGTGGGAACGATCCCCAGTCGAGGGTGTGCAGGAGGCAGCCGATCAATGATTCTCTCTCATCATTGATGTTTCTGTCTCTCTCTCTCACTCTTCCTCCCTCTTTGAAATCAATAAAAAAGAAAAATTAAAGAAAGAATAAGAATTCTGCGTATCATTCTTTTTTAAGTATTAAAAATATAGACTATTAATAACAGAGCCAAAGCAGACTGCATATAAAAAGCATTTTAGGAAAGTGTTTAAATATTGTCTTATTAGACACCTCAAAAGTATGGACTCTCCACTGTGGTGACTTCGGATAATGATAAGAGCTCTATTCCCCCACTCCAGCAATTAGAGAATCACAGGGCAATAAGCAAGGATCACTTAATTTGTAACGGGGCGAACTACACCTTGAGTGAAGGAGGGAAAGGGGTAGTTAAACTAGGACCTGGGGTAGAATTCAGTGGCTTGATTTCTTGCTCACAGTGAGTTTCTCACTGTAAGGTAATGGGGTTACCTCCCCCCTCCCCCCTCCCCCTTAGTCATGTAGCATCTGGGGACTCCATGGGCCAGTTGCTCTGGAGACGGGCTCACCACAGCGTGGAGAGATTCAATTTCCACTTGCAGGTGGTGCCACTGGCGCCGGGCTTCCTTGAGTTCTGCTTGAGCTGCCCTTAAAGCCTCTCCATCTTTGTCCATTCTTTTGCTCAGATCCTCTTCCAGCTGGAAGAGAGCCAACAACAGTAACAAGGAAAGAAAGGGCACTGAAAGTGAGGCACTTAGGAGCAACGATAGAAAAATAGCGTGGGAATCGAATCATTATTTTCGTTAAGTTGTTAGATTACAAATGTATGTTTGAGTGCTTCGTTACTAATCATTTAAATGTCGGAGCAAGTCCATTGCACTCTCAGCCTCAGTTTTCTCAGGTGCAAAACGAACCTCAAAAGTCTCTTCCTACTATGGCAGTCTATGAAATGCAGGAAAAAAATACACCTATTTTAATAAAAAGTAAGAGTTTACAGGACCTAAGTTTGAGACCTCTGATTCTTAACTTTCCAGTATTTATGGCATTAATAAGGAAGAAGGATTGAAATTAGCTACTATTTCCACCCCCCTCCCCCATATTTTCTTGTTGGTTGCTTTATAAAAGCAGATAAACTGTTATATACCCTATATGAATCAATTATTGGACTGGGTACCTAGACAGGGAGTAAATATTGCTGGAAAGTGTATCATGAATAATTTAGAGAATTAAGTTGTCATAGACATTAGAAACTCTAAAATAGATTTCGGTATTAAGCTAACCCACTATTGATTTATCTTTTTCAATATGATCTTTTTAGAAGGCATGCTAATTTTGTTTATCTGAGGTAGAAGCAAAAAATGACTTCCTTCAAAATTGTTTTCTAAATGTCCTCATATTAAATAACAAATGGATTATTGTATGGTTAGCTTTAAATGTTCTTATACTGATGTTGAAATTCAGTGAAAGTATCTTTTGACAGAATTCTGAACATTTGGCCCCATGAGCAGTAGGAGCAGTGTATGAAGTTGGTTGTAATATTTTGAAGCAAAAGTTACCACCTTTTTATGTTTTTATAAAAATGCATTTTAGAATTTAAAAAATGTAATATGATGGTACAACAGATGTTTTAAAGGAGGAAACACTGCAGTACATGAAAGTCTATAATGAAGTTTAGGGCAAAGTATTAGATAACATTTATATGTTTCTTTTGATTTGTTGTTCTCAGCGTTGTTGGCAAAAGCAGGCAGCATCACATAACAGAGCAACTACAAAAGCAAGTGTTGAGAATTTAGGAGCTAGGAGTCCATGAAAACGATGGTATTCATTGGTCTTTGGCATTTTGGAATGGGCAGCAAAGCTTGGATAGTAGCTAGATTCTGAAGATGGCCTGCAATGAACCACCCGTCCCAAAATGGATGTCTTTGTGGGGTGGCCTTCCACATAGAATCTGGGCTGATCTATGTCTTGCTTTAGCCCGTAGAATGTGGCAGAAGTGTCAGTTTTAGGCCTAAGCCTTTAAGAAATCCTGACAACTTGCACTTCTATGCTTTTGGGAGCTTCTATGCTTTTGGACCAGCATGTAAGAAGTCTGCATGCTCTGTTGGAGGGATCATATAGAGAGGCCAGATGGAGAGAGATCCCGAGGCTACATGGAGAGAGAGAAACATTTGTCTCTGCTGAGCCAGCCTTTCAAAATCCCAAGATGCCAGGTCCATGAATGAGCCACCTTGGATGACCCAGCCCAGTTGTGCCCCAAGATGATTGCAGTCCCAGCCAATGTCACGTCCAGCTGAAGTCACCCCCAGTGAACCTAGTCAAGCCACCGAATCATGAGAGGGAATACAATGACTTCTTTACTCTAAGTTTTGGGGTAGTTGTTACATAGTAATAAGTACCTGAAATAGCTCCCTATTGTGTAATAATTAAACAGGCTTTCTTGAATTTATTTCAGCTGACCCTGAATTCTTTGAAAACAGTCCTCTAAGGTAAATATGTTAAAACGACTAAACAAAATGTACTGTATGTAGTCTTGCTTTTTGGCTTTAGCTGATGCATTTCAGCATTGTGACTTGTAAACTAAATAACTTGTATTTTTACTAATGCAAAAAAAAGTGTTTATTAGGTTTATAATTTTCAGAAATTATCATTAAAAATTAATGGCCACCCCCCCCCCTTTCTTTGTAAAAGGTGAATGAACTATTCCAACAGTTAATTATCCCAGTGACTCTGCTTAATCCAGGATCCTGATCATTCTCTATGAAGACTGACAGTGTTACCCAGAGGTAACATTTATAATGTTACTAAAAATGAATTGCTAATGGAGTAAAGTCCCATGATTTCCCAGCAATACTTTCCCCCCTTTTTGTGATGTTCTTAAGTAAACTCTTTGCTCAGAATAGGACTTGAACTCAGATATGGTAGGTAAACTAAAAAAAAAAAAAAATCCCTGAATTTCTGAACCTTTGTTTCTAAAATATTTGTTTGTACCATTGTTTAAAGATTTGAGATCCTAATTGCTGAAGGTGATTGTCACTTTAAAACAAAGTAAGTCTATAAAACTAGGATTTAACCCTTATTTACCTTGGCTCTCTCTTGTCTTTAAAACTTAAACATAGCATGCCTAAATATTGGAAATAAACATTCTCATCTTATAGCACAAAAGCAAAAATCTATAATGTAAGTGGAGAGTCTATCAATCAGTGGTGGTGATGGGGGGTGTTGATTGTCCTGATTTATATCAGAATTGTTCTGAATGCCCTGTTCTTATGCCCAGATGATTTCTATTTATAACGATCTGGAATACAACTGAACTTATTAAAATATTTTAGTTTTCCTCTACAAAGTGTGCAAGCTAATAAATCTTACTATAAAGCTTGCCATTTTTAAGATGTCATTTAAATTATCTCTATAAGTAACTCTGTATTATCTTTGAAGGGTATTTGAAATGCTTCCTCCTTGGAGGATGTTGAAAGAGGTTCAAGTGCACCATTTTATTGCATGTTGACCCCCATGGTTTATTAATGACCATAACCTCATAATTTACATAAAAATTAAATGCATCAATCAACACATTTCATGGCCGCTTAACAGTATAATCACAGCATTCTCCCCTATAGTCCCCGTCACATTGCAGTAAAACCTAAATTCCTTCCCCAGAATACGCTGCATTGAAAAGGAAATACTGTACCTCAGAGAGGCCGGGACAGGAATTGGATAGACATGGATTGTCTCCTTATCCTGGAGGGTGTCTGTCTGTATGAAATCATTACCTGGGTCCTTGTTGAGAGCACGGTCTCTATCTGATTTCTGGTGAGGAGCTTTTCATAGTTTGCCCTGATCTCATTGAGTAGCTGGGACAGCTCCATTCTTTTCCCATCCTCCACCTTGGCTAACTGAACCTTATCGATAGGATGAGTCGCTGCTGCAGCAGCGCTGGTCTGTCTGCCTCCCAGCCCAGAACCCCGTGGAGCCTTAAAGACACAGAGCTCCTTTTTCACAAGCCATGGAAATTCCTGTGTTTCTATTTAATTATGCAAATATGTGGTAGACCCTTTTCTCCTGTTGTTGGTATAATAGACGTGCCAGACCCTCCATAAAGGAACAACAACAAAAATGAAAACATCCTCAGTATTTCTGGATTGGTTCTCTGTAAAACTGAGTACTTTTTTTGGGAAAAGAAAAAAAGAAAAGGTAATTTATCTCATGGGAATGAAATCAGGCATCATATAAGGACAATTATATTTTGTTTTCCCAAGATATTGCATAGAAATAAATCTGGGCCCAAAACATGAGAGCGGAATTTTCTTTTACAGCTTTGCTCACCATTTGAATTCTCTAAACAAATGCTGTGGCAGGGCGTTAGGACAGGGTGTCAATCTTGGATATTCTGACAGTTATTGGAGAAAGCCACCATCAGATTCAGTTGACAGTTGTCATTCGCCACAGGTCTGATTGATTGTATTTCTCTCAGATGCATACGGTGTGGCTCATGTCGGGCTGCTGGCCTGACAGCGGGTTTGATGTACTGGCGTGAATTCCTGAAGGCACATTACAGATGAAACCACAGCGAGAGGTAAGTGCTAACAGAGTATGAGAGCCGAGAGCTAACACTTGCCACGTTTTAACAAGGCTGAGAAAAGTACCACCAGATGGTCCCCGGACAGGGTGTATTCACTGAGGTCAGATTTATTGTGCGGTTGCTCCTTCAATAGTCAACATAGAGTTAATGACAGCTCATGCTTGAAATATCACATTTGTGCAGCTCTTCGAACTTTAAAAAGCACCTTTCCATCTGTCATTGCATCCAATCCTCATCTCCCTGTCATTTTGTACCAGTGAAGACTGAGGCAGGAGGGGTTAAAGTGTCTTGCCCGAAGTCACATGGCGATGTGATGGAATGGTTGGGACTGGGACTTTGATTGGTTGGTTGTGTTCCATATATTGCTTCCTCTGTCTCTGCATTCTCCCTCTCCCTGCCTAAAGTTCTTGTTTAAGCTGGCCAGCTAGTTGCTAGATGTGACTGAAATGTTTTTGCGACTAGATCTGTTGTTATTGTTATTTGTAGAATGGCTTGGCTGAAATCGTATCCGGAGCATCGTTCAGGAAATAGTCCTCGGCTCCCGCACTCACAGGACCTTTGAATGTGCATGCATCATGCTCTCTCAATTTTTGAATTAACTCCCTGCTGGCCAGCCCGGTCTGTGCCACCAGGCATTGCCACAGTCCCCTCCAAGCAAAACTGGTCATTTATAGCCCCTGCTCAGAGGAGGTTCCAGATCATTCCTGTACTCTGTTTAACCTGACCCATGCCTCCTTCACCCCATCATCCCCCAGCCAATCACAAGGATTGGTTTAGGGATGAACACCTGACTCAAGGACAGCCAGTCCATAGGCCGGAGACCTGTGATGTACCAGATACAAAAGCTGACTTGAGAGGGCCACTTATGATTATCTAGGCCAAACGGATTCTCTTCCTTGGTAACTGCAAAGGAGACATATAGAGAATCAGGCACTTGGTAATGGGAGGAGAAGGAAGGAAGTAAAGAATTATACTCTGGTTACTTTATGTAGTTCCTGCTAATCTCTGCCTAAAATACAGAGTGAATGGAACTAGACTCCACAGAGGGCTGACAGTTCCAGTATTTCTTATGCACCCTAAAGCAGTGTCTTCCGATAGAAATATAACGCAAGCCACAAAGGCAATCCCACATGTGACTTTAAGCTTTCTAGTAGCTGTATCAAGAGATAAAAACAGAAATAAGTGATGTCCATTTTAATGGATTTTACTTAACCTGATATATCCAAGATATAATTATTCAACATATAGTCCATATAAAACATTCATGAGATATTTTGTATTCTTCCCTTTCGATCTTGTCATTGAAATCCAGTGTGCATTTTTATAGCCCATCTCAATTTGGACAAGCCACATTTAAAGTGTTCAATAGCCACTTGGCTAGTGGCTACTGTGTTGAACAGTGCAGTTCTAATGCTTTATCTGTCCTATATCTGAAGTTGTGATCAATTTTTATCCTAAAAAGCATACCAGATAGAACTGATGGCAACACAAGTTTATATGAAATGGATTTCTCTTCCAGGCAGATGCAACTCTGAATCTTTTGTCTTTGCATAGATATATCAGCCAGTCCAGCTGATCTTTTATTTTGGGGATTAATCCCGTAGAGCTTGGGTATTCTTTTATTTATTAAGTAATTTTTTTTATCAGCTTAAGATACTGTGAGTTTCTTTTTAAGTCAATCATGCATTTCAATAGGCTTATAGTTGTATAATTATACTTTAAAATATTATCTTAAGTGATAGGCCTTTACTGGTTTGTCCCCTTTTTGTTATATTGTTGATTTTTCTACTCACAGGGGCATGCCTCTATATGGTATAGTTTCATGTATCAGTTAGGAATATAATTAGACACAGAGATTTGTGTTGGAACATGTCAGCATTTCTCAGCATGTTTGAGGTGCGTGAGCAATGCTTACATGCATTTCCATATGGCCCACACATAACGTTTCACACAGAGCGATTAAGCAGAGTTTAGTACATATGCAGGCATGTTCTTGACAGATACCAAATTCATTCTTTGTGGCTGTAACTCAAGTAAAAAGTATGGCTGTTTCCTGGATCAAGGACTTTGCCTTGGGTTCTATTTTCTCTGTCATCTTCCCTAGTACCCAAGGGTTGGGGGTTTGATTATCAGTGTCTCTCACACACTGATTTTTCTCTCTCTCTCTCTCTCTCTCTCTCTCTCTCTCTCTCTCTCTCTCTCTCTTTCTCCGCCCCCCTGCTCTCCCCTCCTTGGGTGAAGATTAACAACAAACAACCAAACAACCAAACAAAAAAACAAATACAGCCTGGCCGGTGTTGCTCAGTGGTTAAGATCGACCCATGAACTAAGAGGTCTCCGGTTCGATTTGCAGTTAGGGCACATGCTCCAGTTGTGGGATGCAGCTGATTGATGTTTCTATCTCGTTAATGTTTCTCTCTCTCTATTGCTTTCTTCCTCTCTCTATAAAATCAATAAAAACATTTCAAAAACAACAACAAATATAGTTTAGGTTACATTGTTAGCTTTGCAGACTATTAGCACTAAACAAAACTATTCAGGAATTCAGCCCCCTTTTCCTTCAGGCCTCTTTTCATCTCGAGGTGACTTCATGAAGTGCCAGCCTTTCATGTCACAGTTCTTAGCCTAAAACTGGGCACCCATCACTGGTCCCCCTTGAGCGACATATTTGGCGTTTCTATTCAGATCCCTGGAAGAGAGGTCTTTGTGGGGTCCTCACCAATCCCCACCAGTTTGACCGGTATTCCCTTAGCTTACTCTATCTTTAAAATCCTGATTGTTTCTAAACCTCCTTTTTCTACCTGATGACATTGGCCCGACTGTCTTTTGCTGAGCGTATCTGAGGGAACATTGTAGCACATGTGGGAAGACATTGTATGTTAGATTTTGAATCCTTATCAGAGATGGCGTGGTCATCACGTGGAGCGTTTTCTGCTAAAGGGAAGCAGTAAAGCAGAAGAGGCGGTGAGTGGAAAAATCGGAGGCTGACCGGTGATGGAGGAAGCAAAGTTCAGAAATTCCTCTGCGTGGCTTTCAGCATCCACCCTACCCAAGCCCGCATGTGTCTCAGAATGGACCTTCTCTGACAATAGGGCTGGTCCCTTCCTGGTCATGGATGATGCCCTGCACAACTATTGTGGCAGCGATAGCCCGATAGCCGAGGCAGCCCTCGGAACTGAGCGCTTCTGTGTTTCGAATGCCTTGAGTGCAGGACCCAGCTTAGGTGTTCCTCTGCTGTCCTCCCCAGTAGCTTCCCCGGGGACAGATTGTGTGGAAAGCGTGAGGAGACCTGTGTGGATCACATAGGACAGTGGTTCTCAACCTTCCTAATGCCGCGACCCTTTTAATACAGTTCCTCATGTTGTGGTGACCCCCAATTTCATTGTTATAAATTGAACATAATTAAAGCATGGTGATTAATCACAAAAACAATATGTAATTATATATGTGTTTTCCGATAATCTTAGGTGACCCCTGTGAAAGGGTGGTTTGACCCCCAAAGGGGTCGCGACCCACAGGTTGAGAACTGCTGACATAGGACATAGTTCTCATCTGTAACAAGTGTTCATATAGCTTTGGATATTGTTTTTGCTTCTTGGTCTTCACATAATGGCTTGAGTTATTGACTTGTATATTATTCAGGTTTGGCTCAGTGGATAGAGCGTCGGCCTGCGGACTGAAGGGTCCCGGGTTCGATTCTGGTCAAGGGCATGTACCTAGGTTGCAGGCTCAATCCCTGGCCCTGATCAGGATGCATGAGAAAGACAACCAGTTCATGTGTCTCTTTCACATTGATGTTTCTCTCTCTCTGTCTCTCCCCTTCCCTTCCACTCTCTCTAAAAATCAATGGATATCCTCAGGTGAGGATTAACAACAACAACAAAAAGCCATCCCATTGACCACACTGCAAGATGAACGACCCTCTTCCAGAAGCGAACTCTCCGTATCCCAGGCCCCCCTCTGTCTTCTGATGTCTCCACGATGCTGGTTGCCTCCTTAGTTTCTGCCGCCAGGGAGGAGCCCTCGGGCTTTCTCTGGGCTGGACTCAGCTCCCTGGCAGCTGCTACAGGCGCATCTGGGTCTGTCTCCCCATCCTCCTCTCCCTTTCCTGCTTTCAACTTCTCCGTCAGTCTCCAAGTGTCTGAGCACCTTCCAGCTGCTCAGCACTGCTGAATAGCTTCGAGGACACAGGCGCATAGCTCATAGCACTCTTGCACTTGCATATCCACGTGGACCCCTTTCTAAGTAAGCCTGATGGGTAAACATTGGAGTCCCAGAAGTGGAACATTTAGGCTTTTTACAAAGACACATTTTACAGAAGAACTTTTAGCTGTACAAATTTTTTGTTTTTAATTATATTTCCTCTCAGGCTTGGAAGAGGCGGTAATCCAACTTTGGCAGTTAAATGGATGGCATTTAAAATACATAGATTAACAAAAGTTTGATTTCTCCACAACCTTTAAGTGAGGTTCAAAATGCTGAGTAATTGTTTTCTCCTTAACTAGACTGTGAACGTCTCAAGGGCAAAGAGTGCATGTCTGATGTTTCTTTGGAACCTGCCCCAACTCCCACTAATTTACTGGGTTTTCCCACTAATCCCTTAGACGTAACGCTTATTTAATGCCTTTGAACAAATAAATGAATATCAGAGTAGGTTATCTTTTCTTAACTTTGTATCTTGTCTTGAAAATGGAATGATTACTGTTAAACTTCTCTTAAAAATATGTTTTCAGTTCTGGAATGTTCATTGCAAGGTTGGGTTTGTTTTGACTTTCTCATGGTATAACCAGGAGAGGAGTTGCTCTGTTAGGGATTACTGGTGTGTATTAGGTCAGCATGGTAGTCTGTCCTCTCGGGCGTGGAGCTGTGTTCAGATTAGAGACACTAATACAGCATACCGGCAATTATTCAGTTGTAATACAACGTAATTACATAGCTCAGCGATTTTCAACCCTTTTCATCTCATGGCACACATAAAGTAATTACTAAAATTATGTGGCACACCAAAAAAGTATATTTTTTGCTGATTTGACAGAAAAATAGGTATAATTTTGATTCATTCACACTGGACAGCTATTGTGTTGGCTGTTGTCATTTAAAAAAAATATATTTTATTGATTTTTTACAGAGAGGAAGGGAGAGGGATAGAGAGAAACATCGATGAGAGAGAAACATTGATCAGCTGCCTCCTGCACACCTCCTACTGGGGATGTGCCCGAAACCAAGGTACATGCCCTTGATTGGAATGGAACTGGGACCTTTCAGTCTGCAGGCCGACACTCTATCCACTGAGCCAAACCGGTTAGGGCTGTTGTCATTTTTTTATTTGACATTCTAAGGAAAAGAACTCAGTTTCCTTGACTAAATGGTCAGGTATTGCATGCTTTAAAAATTCTTGCAACACACAGGTTAAAAATCATGGGCGTAGATCATAACATTCAGTCAATATGTTTTGAGCTATGTATGAAAAATAATCTGGTATTAAGATAAAAGCGTGCATGATTCATTTTCTGACTTAGTGCTGAACACAGTTGCTGATTTCTTTTTTTTTTAATAAAAAAATTGTATTTACTTAGAAGCATTCAGAATGTCAACAAAACAGCTGCAACTTTTTTTTTTTGCAATTACAGAGTGGTATTCAGTTAACAGAACAACAATTATTTCGTATAAGCTGCATCAGAGACAACTGAAGATGAAAAGCTACCAGCCCCATATATAACTAACTTGTGCTGTGCACCAACAAGAACCTGCTTTAAATTTCCATGCCAGTTTACAACCCCCATACTGTACCAGGCAAGGTTAGTGGCTATTGAAAATACCACCAGGACAGGGCTATCTAAAGACACATTTGGTAGTGTGTTAACTATACAAAAAAGACACTGTACAGTTTAAAAACAAATCTTACACAGCCTTACATTTCAATTTTTTTCTTTAAAAGGAGTGAGTTGTGTACGGGGCGGGGAGGTTAAATGCTTTATAGACAAGAAAAAAAACTGCGCTAGAACCAACTTATTCATCATCATCATCATCATCATCTTCTTCTTCTTCCCCCTCCTCTTCCTCCTCCTCATCTTCCTCCTCTTCTTCCTCTTCCTTCTTTTTCTTGCTTTTTTCAGCCTTGACAACTCCCCTTTTGGCAGCATCAGGCTTTCCTTAGCTCGGTCTGCAGCACTGTCCTTTTCATATTTCTCCTTCAGCTTAGCAGCTTTCTTTCCATGAGGCTGCTTGTCATCTGCAGCAGTGTTACTCCACATCTCCCCCAGCTTCTTTGCAACGTCACCAATGGATAGGCCAGGATGCTCTCCTTTGATTATTGGGCGAAACTCAGAACAAAACAAGAAAAAGGCCGAAGGAGGCCTCTTGGGTGCCTTGGGATCCTTGCATTTCTTTTTTGTTTCCCCTTTAGGAGGAATATAAGTTTTCATTTCTCTCTCATAACGAGCCTTGTCCGCCTTTGCCGTGTCTTCAAATTTTCCTTTCTCCTTAGCAGACATGGTCTTCTACCTCTCTGGGCACTTCTTAGAAAACTCTGAGAAGTTAACTGAAACATCTGGGTGCTTTTTCTTGTGTTCCTCCCGGCAAGTTTGCACAAAGAAAGCATACGATGACATTTTGCCTCCCGGCTTCTTAGGATCTCCTTTGCCTCAGCGAGCACACAGTCACCCAGTGCCCGGCCGGCCGGCTCGCACTTGCCCCGGCGCTGTCTCTATGGAGCTCAGTGCACTGCAGTGGCTGTCCAGTTGCTGATTTCTTGAAGACCGTAGTCTGCAATGCTATGCTCATTCTGTGGCACAAAGTGTTCTGAAATTTGTGAACATTTTTTGTTTCCTTTTAATTTTTTTGGCACCCTCAATTTGACTTTTGCTTCTCTTTGGCTTCTTACACCACAGGTCCATTCAGTAAACATTTTTTAAAAGCTTAATACATTGAAAGTTGTCTTTTGGCTTAAATTATAAACAGTTAACTAATGCATTTTCTGAAATTTAGTTCAGTCTCTATAAAAAAACAAAACTGTTGGTAGGGCAAGTATAGTTGTCCTTCCCTGATTCCACAGTCTGTCATACATTTTACAAGGTATTTTCACACTGTTGCCTTCAGAAAAATTTATTCTACTAATCCTTCAATTCCTTCTTAACCACTCTTTTCAAATGTCTCATCTCATCAGTGGCTCAGTCCATTGATCATTGCTCACTCCAGAAATAAAATTTGGTGATATGTTGACGTACAGGTACCACCAGTTCAGTTACTCTCAAAAATCATTATCTTTGAAACTTCTCTAAGTAGCCACAAAACAGTGATTCATACCTTGAAAGAAATGGTCATTGAAATCAGCATTGTTTGAGAATTAGGGAAACATTTTCAGTTTTCTTTGAGAAATCTTAAGTGTTAATCTTTTAGGATTAACTTTGATCTTTTTTCAAGTGTATGATTCTATATCCTCCTTTGATAGTTTAGCTCTATTACCTTACCACTTTACTTGCATATTATAAGCAACCAATAACTTTTTTTTTTTTGAGTTGAGTTAAAACCTATTAGAGAGACTTCGCTTGGTTCCTTTCTGAATGTGGCATGCGCGTTTCTCTGTTGTTAGTATCAGATAGTTCCTATTCACTTTGCAAGAAAGAATATCTACATACAGGCATTTTCTCTCTTCTAACTTCTCTTTCAAGTAAAACAGATAATCTATTCCACTTTTAAAAGGGGGTAAGGTTTTGAGATTTCATGGAAGGAGGGTACCTCACCCCTCACCTTATGAGCATTTTGTACTATGTTGACATTTGCAGTGTCTTAGCTAATTCGGGGGCTATAGTATTTGCAGAATAGGGGCTTATATTTGCAGTGAATCATTTTGCTTCCAGGTGTTTTTCATTACATGAAATGGAAACTTACTTGTCTGAGTTATTAATTGAAGTAGCCTAAGATCTTGGATTATTTTTCCTAAAGAGTTTTTTTTTTTTTTTTTTATTATTAGTTAAGGTATTACAAATGTGTCCTCATCCCCCCCATTAACCCCCAACCTCCCCCCCACACACACTCATGCTCCCATCCCCCTGTTGTCCATGTCCATTGGTATGGCTTATATACATGTATACAAGTCCTTCGGTTGATCTCTTCCCCTTACCCCCGCCCTCCCCTACTTTCCTTCTGGGGATTGATAGCCTGATTGCTGTTTCTCAGTCTTTGAGTCTGTCCCTTTTCATCAGTCTATGTTGTTCTCTATAATCCACAAATGAGTGAGATCATGTGGTATTTATCTTTCTCTGACTGGCTTATTTCACTTAGCATAATGCTCTCCAGTTCCATCCATGCTGTTGCAAAAGGCAAGAGTTCCTTTTTTTTTACCGCAGCATAGTATTCCATTGTGTATATGTACCACAGTTTTCTAATCCACTCATCTGCCGATGGGCACTTAGGCTGTTTCCAAATCTTAGCTATGGTGAATTGTGCTGCTATGAACATAGGGATGCATATATCCTTTCTGATTGGCGTTTCTGGTTTCTTGGGATATATTCCTAGTAGTGGGATCACTGGGTCAAATGGGAGTTCCATTTTTAGTCTTCTGAGGTAGCTCCATACTGTTCTCCACAGTGGCTGCACCAGTCTGCATTCCCACCAGCAGTGCAGAAGGGTTCCTTTTTCTCCACATCCTCTCCAACACTTGTTGTTTGTTGATTTGTTGATGATAGCCATTCTGACAGGTGTGAGATGATAACGCATTGTCGTTTTGATTTGCATCTCTCGTATAATTAGTGACTTTGAGCAGGTTTTCATATGTCTTTCGGCCTTCTGTATGTCCTCTTTCGAAAAGTGTCTATCTAGGTCCGTTGCCCATTTTTTTATTGGATTGTTTATCTTCCTTTTGTTAAGTTTCATGAGATCCCTGTAAATGTTGGAAATTAAACCCTTATCGGTGGTATCATTGGCAAATATGTTCTCCCATGTAGTGGGTCTTCTTGTTGTTTTGTTGATGGTTTCCTTTGCTGTGCAAAAGCTTTTTATTTTGATGTAGTCCCATTTGTTTATTTTCTCTTTAGTTTCCATTGCCCTAGGAGCATTATCAGAGAAGAAATTTCTTCGGCATATGTTTGCGATTTCGCTGCCTGTGGATTCCTCTAGTATTTTTATGGTTTCCCGTCTTACGTTTAAGTCTTTTATCCATTTTGAGTTTATTTTTGTGTATGGTGTGAGTTGGTGATCTAGTTTCATCCTTTTGCATGTATCTGTCCAATTTTCCCAACACCATTTATTGAAAAGACTGTCTTGACTCCATTGTATGTTCTTGCCTCCTTTGTCGAATATTAATTGGGCATAGTGGTTTGGGTTGATTTCTGGGGTCTCTATTCTATTCCATTGATCTATATGTCTGTTCTTGTGCCAGTACCAAGCTGTTTTAAGAACAGTGGCTTTGTAATACAGTTTGATATCTGGTATTGAGATCCCACCTACTTTGTTCTTTCTGAGGATTGTTGCAGCTATTCGGGGTCTTTTTTTATTCCAGATGAATTTTTGGAACGTTCGTTCTAGATCTGTGAAATATGCTGTTGGTAATTTAATGGGGATTGCATTGAATCTATAAATTGCTTTGGGTAGTATGGACATTTTGATGATGTTGATTCTACCAATCCATGAACACGGTATATTCTTCCATCTGTTTATGTCTTCCTCTATCTCTTTTTTCAGTGTCCTGTAGTTTTCAGCATATAAGTCTTTTACCTCCTTAGTTAAGTTTATTCCTAGGTATTTTTTTCCTAAAGAGCTTTTAAAAATAAACTTCATTAGGGAATGTGATATTTTGGAAACATATTGCTGAGGTGAAATCACGAAATTATCTCTGTGTACAAATTGGTTTTTGGTGGATTCACCCAGGGGGAGCTTTTTGCATTCCAGGGCTCCTGAAGTCCGTAGTTCTCTCTCTAGGACCTGAAAAGTCCACTATGGTTCATTCATCTCAGTTGTAGCAGAATCGGATGCGTCAGCGGCGGCGGCAGTCTGCTGGTGTAGCACTCCCCTCTGAAATGCCATTTCAAACCAGTCAGTCACTGAGATAATTCCTCTTCCCAGGATGGCGATGGATATTTATTAGCTTCCCAAAGTGATCTTGTTCTCTTAAGTTGTTAGAATATTCCATATTATAATTCTATATCATAGCGTATTATAACATTATCTTTGGCTGTTGCAAAGCGCTTAGAACAAGTCTTGTGATGGGTTGGTTGAAAGGTAGTACCTGTCTGGGAAGTCAGTTGTCCATCCCAGCTGACAGCCAACCAGGATTTCCAGACTGAACTTGATTGAGGTCTTCCCTGCTCTCCCACCTCTGGGTAGCTCCTGAATCCATTCTGAGAAAGACGATGAAATTGTCCTCAAAATTTTAAATCACTTCCTGGGAAGTTTATGCAAAAAATGTAATTTATAGATGTACATTTGTACAACATTATAACAATTCCTTTTTTGGGTGATCTTTTCTTTGTCCTTTTAAAACATAGTATGACCCTAGCTGGTTTGGCTCAGTGGATAGAGCATCGGCCTGCAGACTGAAGGGTCCCAGGTTCGATTCTGGTCAAGGGCACATGCCCGGGTTGTGGGCTGGATCTCCAGTTGGGGGTGTGCAGGAGGCAGCCAATCAATGATTCTCTCTCATCATTGATGTTTCTATCTCTCCTCCCTTCTCTGAAATCAATAAAAATATATTAAAAAAATAAAACGTAGCTATGGCAATGCAGCTTTCACACCTGTAATTTGCCCTGCTACTCCGTAGATCTTTTGAACACTACCCAAGTCTATGGTGTCCTTAAGAAGCAAGTTGGGGCCAAGCAATGCACGTCTTATTGCAGTTTTGTAATGACCTCTCATATGCTTTCATATTTGTTGTGGTTCGTCAACAAAATAAACACTGCATCTCTCTCTCTCTCTCTCTCTCTCTCTCTCTCTCTCTC